ATAGAAACAGTGCCATCAAGGGGCTTATATTCTTTCTTTTCTAAAATCCAAAATGTTCATACAAGAAGCTCATTTACCAAATGGCCAGTATGGGCCAGATACTCTTCCTAATTAATGCACAGGATAAAAACACCGGGTCTCTAGCCTCACAGACTCACAGTGTAGTGGAATCCAGTTAGATGAGTTTCTCTAAAAAAAGTCCACTTATTTCTCTGCTGAAAAACTTTCATTGGCTTGCCACTACATAAAGATTCAAATTAAAATCCCTTACTGAAAACTCAGTCCTTTATAAATCTAGTCCTGACTGTCCCTTGGTCCAAAGGGACCTACTTTCCAATTCCTAGGCACCTCCAAGCATATTCCTCAATGTGCCTTTCCTTATTCCATTTACTAAGCCTGCAAAACTGTATCAAAACCCTTCTTCAAATCTAACCCTCACCAATCCTTTCAAGGGTATTTAATTTCTGCTTTCTCCATGAAGTGTTCCTAGACAATACACTCTAAAATCCTATAGCATACATTGCTTACTCTATTCCTGTAGCAGTTAACAACTGTGGTGCCCTGTATCTTCTCATAGCTGCCCCATCATCCAACCCAATGCCTTGCCTACAGAAAGTGTGCATTAATTACTTTATTACCAATTTACCTTAATTACCTTGGGGTTCTAATGACTGTCCCATAAATGAAGACAGTGTGTCTTCTAGGGCCAGTCTCCTAATCCCAATCTACAAAGGGGTTCTACTGGCCTGCAGTATTGAAATCAAGTACTTTCAGCTGCTCAATTCCCATCAATTAGGATGCAAAAGAATTGAAGGACCAGAGTAACTTCATGGTGCACCTGCAAAATCTCATTCTGAGTCCAAACAGAAACAACTCAAAGTCAAATAAAACAAAAAACCCAAAGAAAGCCAAAGATGACTGACTACGTGATACATGAAGCTTTGAGAACAGTGTGACAGCTGTGAGGGGAGCTTATCTCATCACTTCCAATTTGAGGGCTACACCTTTAAAATAGGAACCCATTGTCCCCAAAATCAAGTGTAGTGTTAAACTGATGAGGTACCCCTAACTATCCCAAGAATTTTCTCCCCTTTTGGAATGCTACAGGAAAAGAAGGAACCCTTTGACTTCTCAGTTGTTGGAGTTTATCCAAATAAGTTTGGATAACGTATTATGTATTTCCAAACATCTAATAAAATAATGTACTACTGTTGCACTTAGCAACAGTGTGAGTTAAGTATCTGCTTATGAACTTGTCTCTCAGATCAAACCATGAGCTCCTCAAGAGCAGGGAATCAAGGATTTGTTTTACTCCTCTTTGTAAATCCTAAGTCTGGCACACTGAGGTAACTCAAAAAGTACTCTCAATTAATGAATTCTTTCTTAGGTTAAAACATGTTCAACTGCCAACATTCTGTTAAAAAGTAATGAAAAGGGGTTAAATAATATATTCAAGTATCAACTGCCTGTTAAAAATGGAATGTAGAAGTCACATGCGTTTTTTTCCTCACAACTATGATAACACATAAAATATCTTAAGAAATTATTCCATTTTATCCCTAGTCCTGCTGGTCTTTTCTACCATTTAAATGGATCTAAAAAATGTGGGGAAAATCCTTCCTTGCTGCTGTATAAGAGACTTCTCCAGTGTCCCTGCCTTTTTTTTTTTAGAGACAGAGTCTTACTTTGTTGCCCTTGGTGGAGAGCTGTGGCATCACAGCTCACAGCAACCTCCAGCTCTTGGGCTTAGGCGATTTTCTTGCCTCAGCCTCCTGAGTAGCTGGGACTACAGGTGACCCACCACAACGCTTGGCTATTTTTCTGTTCCAGTTTGGCATGGATCAGATTTGAACCCACCACCCTTGGTACATGGGGCCAGCGCCCTACTCACTGAGCCACAGGTGGGGCCCTGTTCCTGCTTTTTTAATTATGGTTAAGTCATTTAAAAATCCAGAATAAGTAAGAGAATGATTATCAAAGAACTGAAACTTTAGGATCAGAATAGGGGTGGGTACATGTGTACTTTAATCTGCCCTCAACATTTATGAAGAGTCACTGTAGAAATTGAAAGGCATCATGAAAAGGTGAAAGTACTGCATACATAGTGATAAAATCTATATATGTTATAAAACTGAGGTTATCTGAAAACAAATTTCAGTATGAAATTATCTTCTCATGTTATATGTGTTTGAGCGTATTTTTTTAAAGGCATACTGGATATAATGTCAGATATTGACACTGGGGAAAAAATGACTAAGTATTAGCAGCCCATGTGGCCAATGAGGGGGCATACACACCCTCACCTATAAGGCTATAAGATGATGGTCATAAAGGAAATATTCTTCTAAAATAGTTCAAAGGTAATCAAATTAAATAGTGTTCACAGTTTACTAGGAAAAAATGCTGATAAAATATGAGCTATTTATATTACATAAGGAGTCCCAAAAGTGGCCCTAAAGTTGCCATACTTAGGGAAAATGGGAAATTGAAGCTAAATGTACCTTTATTTACAAAATATTCCCTACATGTCAGCCACCTCTTAGTAAAATTTTGTAATGAATTTTACAAAAGATAAAAAAGTAAAGACACATTTAGCTACAATTTCCCATTTTCTCTATGTATGGCTTCTTTAGGGGCCACTTTTGGGACACCCTGTAGTTTTTTTCATACACTCTATCTCCAAAAGTACAGACAGCAGCTTTGGAAATTTAAGGGAAACGGTACCAGTGCTCTGCTCCAATAACATAGGAGTTTAAAAGAGAACCCAATGTGACTTAAATAGGAGTGTATCAATAATCTGTACATCAGCAAGCTGATGAATAAAAAACCTAAAACAAATAAAAAATCTAAGAAGCCCAAACAACCAACCCACTCTTTAACTCTTCCACTTCTAGTTATGCTTTAAAAGCATTCCCAGTGTTAACATAGTTCAGTAGTAATTTGTTCCCTTAAGCATTCTTCAAAAGATGATGATCGTTTAAAAAAAGAAAAAAGCCATGGTGCCTTTTGACCCAATAGCTAAAGATAATCAAGAACTTACAAGAATGCTTACAGAAACATTTTTTGTCATGCTAAAAAACTGGAAGCAACATAAAATTCCAGTAGTAGAAGAGTATACAGCTACTTAAAGAGCTATAATGACACTAAAGATAACATTTATTAAGCTAAAAAGCAGGTTATAGAATAGCATATAAATTGAAAGTACTATAAGTCTAATATCCAAAATTCAGAATTATCTTTGGAAGGATTAACTCTGAGTAGTGGAATTTTGTGAGATTTTTATACTTTCCCTAAAAGGAAATTTCAGAAAACCACAATGATCTTGTATCATTTTTACAATTTTTAAAAAAATGTTATACTACACATATGTGCAGTGAATATGGTCAGTACCTATGTAGCACCTCATAATTGCATGGTTAACCTGAAAGGCAACCAGACACTATCACAAACCTATGCACATTCACTTTGATTCAGCAATTCCAAATACTATAGCTATTATCACACAAATGTGCAAAGACACATTTTTGTTTAAGAATGTTCACAGCAGGATTGTTTATATTAGAAATACCAGATGTGACTTAAATGTCCATCAATAGAGACTAAAGTATGTACATTCATACAACGAACTCCTATAGCTATGAAACAGAGTAAGATAGCTACGTGAGTTGAATGACATCCAAAATAAATTAAGGTTAAAAATAAATAAATAAAGACAGAACAGTATGTGTCAACCGTGAGGAGTAAAAGAGAGGGAAGACTACACAAAGAAGTATGCATGTATTTGCACAGACTATCTCTAAGAGTATACACAAAAAACTGTAGATAGTAGCTGCCAGTGGAGTGCAGGTCTGGAAATCAGAGGTATTAAGACTTATCGTTTATTGTAAACCAATCTGTACTGTTTGAATTTTCTTTAACATATCTGTATGCTACTTTTAAATTTTAATAGCTTTTTTAAATTAGGTTGTAAATTACTTTGCTGTTGTATAAATAGATTGAAGGAAAATAAGTTTCCAAAGTATGAAATTTATGCTATAAGAACTGTTGGGGTTTTTGGTGGGTTTTTTTTTTTTTTTTTTTGCAGTTTTTGGCTGGGGCTGGGCTTGAATCTGCCACCTCCGGCATATGGGGCCAGCGCCCTACTCCTTTGAGCCATAGGAGTCATCCAGAACTGCTGTTTTTAAGGGTTTAAAAAAATTCTAAACTATCATTTGCTGCTTTTAGTTTATTACAGTCAATGAAAATTATACACAATTGTAAACCTGAGCTCTTCTGTACAAAGGTGTTTACATCGTTGCTAGCCAACAAATCCACATCTGTTTAACCAAGTCCTTGTTTTGCACTCTCAGTATAGAAGCAGTTTTAAAAATCTGCTTTCTCTCTTGCTGTATTTTATATATATCCTATATAAAAGAACTATCTGCCACAAATAACTATGGAATAAATGAACAGATTTTCTTCTTTTCCTGATAGGAATCCTTCCAGGTCAGTTTGGCCTAGCCTTCTCTGACAGAGTAACAAATGAAATGCCTACCTAGAACAAACAAGATGATGACTCATTAAACATAGTAGTTCCTACAGGAAGGTTTTCCTAAGGAAAACTAAAAAGGTAAGAAAAATGTAATACATTTAACTATATTCTCAGATTAAATAGAATAGAATAAAATAGAATAGAATTCATAGATTAAACATAAACAGAAGGGCTCAGATCAACTATTATTAATATGCTCTGTTAACTTTGGAAGACCCATTTCCCAGGAATTTGAAGTAACTCCAGGAGAGAAAATGCTGCTCAACATAGTGACAGAAGTCTTTTATCACACTTGTTCAATGTTTTAACAAATATCAGAAAAACACTATTCAAGGTTATATTCTAAGAACTACCTAAACAGGTCTGTCAATGTTGGCTTACTCAACACCAGTGCTTATAATTACATACCAAACTTCCTGAAAATAAGTGGTAGACATTATTTAAAAAACAAAAACAAAGCTGCACTCACCTTTAACACTTTTTCTGTTAACATCTGCTCCCTTTTCAAGTAAATACTGAGCGATCTCTTTATGTCCTTTGTAACATGAAATCATCAAGCACGTATGCCCATGTCGATTTGACACTTCCAAATCAGCTTTGTGTTCTACAAGGTACTTCACTATTTCCAAATGGCCATCAAAACATGCAGCTCGAAGAGGAGTTGAATTGGTTAAAGTTGTGTTGTTGACAGACGCTCCATGATTTAACAAAGACTGAACCACCTTCAGATGTCCTGCTGCAGAAGCTGCCCACAAAGGAGGAGCCCCCTCAATGGTTTCGCCATCAAAATTGACAGAGCCCCCGACTTCTATGGAGGCGCTGCATTGCTCTAGGAGGAATTCCACCATGTCAAGGTGCCCATACCTCGCAGCCATCAAGAGTGGGGTGGCCCCATTTGTTTTTTCAGAGATCAAGGAGGAAACCTCCTCTTTGGATTTGCTTGCCAACAACTTGGTGAGAAGTCGGAGTTTGCCATCCCGAGCTGCGTTAAATACTGCTGTCTTTAGATCCATTTATGTCCAATGGAAAGGCTGTGCTTTATTTATCCTTCGAAGCAGAGATCCAGCTTAACTCTACCGACACAGGCAGGAGTTACAGGAACCAAAGTGCAAGGTTAATCCACTGCACCCCAGAACGGATATAAAACCACGGAGAGTATGCTCTGTCCTACTTCCTTCCAACATCTGACAACCAGAGAGAAAGAAAAAAAAGTAATTTTGAATTTTCCATGGGTGAAGGCAAAAACACTATTTAAATTTTCTTAGTTTCCACTTCTGTGGCAAAAGCCAGGGGGAAGCCCTACTTTAGGGATTATTCCGTCGCGCCCCCAATCCCCGAAAAAAGTGGAAAAGGAAAACACAGAAGGGGACACGCAGAGACCCGAATGTTTTGGTGGGAGGCCGTCTCTTCCTCGTGTGCGGAAAATTTAAACATCACAGGCAACCGGTTTCCTCGCCTCCAGCTCTACCCGGCCAAGCTTTGTTCTAGTTTTGCTTTGCACACGCTCAGGGCGAGTACAACCGAGAGAGGCACAGCCGAGAGGCTCGGAAATGTTTCTTTCTTCCATCTATCTGCAGAAGAGCTGACCAAGGGCGCGAGGCTGGAAGGCCTCACTGTGGCCAAGACGGGTTTCGACCAGAAACAAAAAGGTCGGACACACCAAACCTCCGCCAACTACGGCCCAAGCCCTCACCCGAAAGGCTCTGTCCTTTATAACCACCCGAGGATCTCAGGAAATCCGGCCGCCTGGTAGCCACTAACTTCGCCCGCCCCACTTGCATCTGCCCCCTCCGGAGAACCACAGTTGCCCCCACATAACCTTCCCATACTCCACACACGGCAGCCCCTTCCCCATCTCCACCAGTGACTATAACCCCGCCGACCGGCCGGTAAGGCTGTGGCCTCCGGCCCGCCGCCCGCCCGCCGCTCCCTGGGCGCCCTCCTTCCCGCCCAGGCCTCCCGCGGGCGTCCCAGGCCACGGCACCGGCCCTAGCCGGCCGCCGCCACTACCTGCCCGGGGGCAAGTCCTCCCCGCCGCCGCTGGCTGCTCGGGCCGCCCCCTTCAAATGGGAACCGTTGTGCCCGCCGTCGCCCGGGCCGCCCAGCTCCGCCTGCGGCCGCACAGCTCCTCCATGCCCCGCGCCCCACAGGAATGAATCCGGCCGCGCCGCTCGCCCCGCCCCGCCACGCCGAGCCGCCTCCCGCCCTCTCAATCTGCTCTGGCTGCAGCGGTTGCAGCAGCTGCCGCGGTGGATGGTGTAATGGGCTGCGGGCCGGGGGCCGGACAAGCCCGAACACTGCTTCTCATCACTGACGCGGCAGCCTCGCCATTGGGCCGAGGGAGGGCGGCGGCTGCCGCGAGCAACCGCCTAGGGGCGGGGCGGGGCGCCGCGGCCGGGGCGGGGCGCCGTGGGAGGGGGACCGCGAGCTCCGCGAAGGTGCGCCTGCGCGCGGCGGGCCGGGGGCGGGGCGTTGCGAGGGGGCGGTCCCCACCGCTCGGCGGCGGCCGGAGGTGGAGGAAGAGTCGGCTAAGATCTCGCGTGTTCCCGGTACTCGCGCGTTTTCTAAGGATGCCGCTGAGTGAATCCTTTGGTCTCATTCCAGAGTCCCCAGAAGAGCAGTAGAAAGTATTTCTTTCAAGTACTGCTAAACACTCTGGGACTGGTCTCTTCTGTGTTCTGGGGTAGGTCCTGGAATATGCCCAGGTCGTGATTATGCCACAGAACGCACACAGGAAACAGATGTTCCGAAAATAAGATTAGTTTTGGAACCTCCCAACCGTGGCTGTAAATATATAGATATCTGTAAAATATATAAAGCCTACGAGGAATGGTAAAACCTAGAAGCAGTAACCTTGTTTACCAAGTCAACAAAGAGTTCTTGAACTCTGGAGAGTAAAAACTGAAAATGAAAGAAAGCTAAGAAGTTTATATGGATGAAAAGAATTATTAGTTCATGCAGGATGAAATAAACTTATGGAATTTTGTCGTTAAGACCTGGGATGTACTGAAGTAGGCTGAAAAAGAGTTTAAGTTTGGGAAATAACGTCCATAATGAGGAGAAAATAGAGATTTTGAGAACAGATCTTCAACCTCTTCAATACTATATTTGGGAGAAATCAAACATACAGTGCCTAGTACATAGAGAGAAAGAATAGTAAACAGACTGACACCCCCACCACCAGCATCACAAATGTAATCATTTTGTTAGAAACTGCAACACTAAAAATATTTTATAAAAAAATCATAACTTCATTGATACATATTTACACATAGTGTTGTCCAAAAGTTTGTTTTGTATAATTGGAATAATTTTCACAAAACTATGTACTTTACTTTTCCCCCTGCCATACCCTGAACATTTCTTATGTTTTTACGGTCTTAATAATCATTTTTAAGTGGAGCATAGTAATTTCCCTTTGGCAGTCACTATATACACTCAACATCAGACTCCTAAGCATGAAGTTAAGGTTACTACCACTGCGAAAAAAACATAAAAGACCGGAAAATAAGGGATGGGATCAGCCATCTGTAAAGATGAAGCAACCAAAAAGACTGTTGCATCCCTAGTGTATAGAAAACACTTCTGTACTCCCAGCATATGGACACCAGCATACAAGGTACCAACCATGGTTTAACCAGAGCTGACCTAATTCACTAAGATGAGTAAAACTTTACATCAGTGGTCTTCAAATTGAGGTGTGTATCCCCCACGGGCTTTTTAAGGGATAAGTGGACACTTTTAAAGGCCGCCAGTTTCTGAATCTTCAAATATCTACCTGTAGTCTTTCCTAAAATTGATCTGCTGGTGAAGGAATGTGATTAAATGTGTTCATTTTCGAACTCTTTCACAATAATTGTATAATTCCCAATTTATAAGAAGAAGGTGCATTGCTCTGGGTTGTAAAAACCTCAGACGACCTATGTCAGTTCTTTACCAATTTTAAATACAGGGCAGTATTGAGAAAGTGTATACCTCTAATGCCTACCTAGGGAACAAATTCTCTTGCAAGTCAGATGATTTTCAAATAATTGCTTTTAACAAAATATAACCTAAGGATCACTGACTTTATAAGTTGGAAGGCATTCAAAGAATGGAATGACAGTAATAAAAATAACAGAACCCCTTATAGGTGTACCTCCTTATTAATGTGAAAATATTTTCTCAGCATTTATGCAAATGAAACATTAAGACACTGATACTGAACTCTCATTCTAGTATGTAGTATTTAACAAATTCATGCACTAATTATTAAATATTACATATTTGGCTTGGTGCCTGTAGTTCAGTGGTTAGGGTGCCAGCCACATACCCAGGGGCTGGCAGTTTACAACCCAGCTGGGCCTGCTAAACAACAAGGACAACTACAACAAAAAAATAGCCAGGCGTTGTGGCGGGCACCTGTAGTCCCAGCTACTTGGGAGACTGAAGCAAGAGAATGGCTTGAGCCCAGGAGTTTGAGGTTGCTGTGAGCTGTGACACCATAGCACTCTACCGAGGGTGACATACTAAGACTCTGTCTCAAAAAAATAAATAAAATATTACATGTTTAATAATTATAAAAATGTGTAATACATTTTGTATTGTTTTGAATGCCTAATAATTACTAATAAATATGACGATGCCTCTATTTAGAAGAAAATGTTTGCACACATATAATCTTTCAGTCATAAGAAATTTAAAATTTAAATTTTTATGCCTTTTTATTGCTGAGAAATACAGTAGGGTGATTCATAGAATACATTCAAACATAAAAATGCATAATTAGGATATACTCCTGAGAGATGGGGATGCAGAATGGAATTTTAAGTGTGAAAAGAAAAATCATGTATTTCACCTAAGTTGCAACTAGCAAAAAAGAAAAACAAATTATGTAAAATCATCTATATGTAAAGAACAGTTTGTTCATATATTCTTTAAATGATTGATGGGTAAGGCATAACTGCCATATTTAGATTTAATTGGATTCGTTTAAAAGTATGACTATCTTATTTGAAAATGTTAATTTTAATGGTATAGGAGAAATTCCATCCTTTACAACTGCTTAAATTTATGATGAAAAATTTTGGATGTCAATTGAAAAATAGGCGAGAAGGTATATAGTATTTCATGTGTGGGCAAAAATTTTGAAGACCACTGATTCATTTATCAACCCTTTTGTTTTAAAGATTGTGGAAATATTTGTTAATTTTTTCTCTTAAATAGAAATTCAATGACATTTTCTTTCACATGGATCTTACGTTGTGTTTATGTAACACACATATGTACCTACCTCCTCCTTAACTTCTATGAATGGGAAGGACTATTTTGTTTGGTTTGGTTGTCAAGACATTGGACTCTGGTATAACCAGCAATTACTATCTTCCTGAAAGCCTCAGAATGCTTTTGTAGATATAAAAAGAAAGATCATAAACTCAAGCATAAGGAGTCTGCAGATGGTGCAGGTGGGAGCCAGAAGTGGACCAGAGATGGTCTCTAAATTATTCAACGAGGTAGTGCCCAGAGATGCAGGCAAAAAGACCACTTTCAAGAGCCAAGGTGAATACTCAGGCAGGGATCCTCAAACTTTTTAAAACAGGGGGCCAGTTCACTGTCCCTAAAACCACTGGAGGGCCAGACTGCAGGCCCCGGGACAAGTCGGCTGCTAAGCAGGACAGGCAGTGGCAGCAAAAACACCCCGCGAGCTGGATAAATGTCCTCAGCGGGCCACATGTGGCCCACAGGCCGTAGTTAGAGGACACCTGAGTCTATCCTGAGGGAGAGCAGTATGTTACTCACATCCACAGTGCTGACTCCTTAGTTTTGCCTGAGGCCCAAGGCTTATAAAATGGTATCTCAAAGTCACCCAAATTTGCCTGGCCAACTTTGTGATTTTATTTTTTGTTTATGTAATCTCTTGTAATTAGTGGAGTATTCAGAGTATTCCTGCTGTAGTATTTCTTCTGGGGATTTTCAAGTCTTTAAACTAAAAGGTTTAGTGAAACAATCTGCTTGCATGGTTTTGGCACACTTTGTTAACATGGTCTAATTTGGGGAAAGGCCAGGATAAATAAAAATTATGCCTCTACTTTTTTGTAACTAACTAGGTTAACAATTATATTTAGAAAGGTATGAAAGAAACCTGCTTTAATAAATATAAAAGTTACATAAAAATAGCATGCAACATCTATGCTCCCCATGCTAGTTAGAAATAGCTTTCTTGTATAAGGGGTTTATTTTATTAACACTGATAATTTGCTTAGCCAAGGTGAGGTATTTTATTTGTCATAAATTCCTTCATAACATCAAAAATTATTGGATCCTATTGTGTACTATGGTAGGTGCTAGATGACTATGATATGATCCCTGCTTTCAAGGAATTAATGATCTGTGGAAGAAATGTAGCTATAAACAGATCAGGACAAAATAAACAACAGAGAGAGCCCAAAGGACAGAACCGCTAACTGCTTGGGCTGGGAAGGAGGTGAAGGTTAAACTCAATCTTAAGGGATTAGTAGAAGTGGGCCTGGCCACAAGGCAGCAGAAGGGAAGGACAGTATCCAGAATGCAGGGAGCTGATGGAAGGCACGAGGTGGACACTGCTTTTTCTCCTCCCCCCACCACATAGACAGGGTGGTGTCTTAGGCTCCCTCCTGACTGAAAATAAGTCCCCAGTCCCTTCCCTCAAAGTACATCCTGATAGGAGTATATCATACCATGTCCTATTTATGCAGCTCAACCAGAAAGCCATTCTCTCAGTGCAGCTGCTCTCTTCCAAGTTTTAGAGGTGCAACCTGCTTCCAAAAGCAAGAATACTTCCTTGAGGTACTAGTGTTTTAAAAAGAAAACATGTCAACCCAAATCAATCTTAAAATCACAGAAATACACAAGGCAGAATTCTTTTAGCAGATAGAGCGCTGGGTTCCCCTTGTGTGTTTTGCTCTAGACTCTACTCCCCTGAGCGATACCAGATATGAGGTGACAACTCAGCCACCAAATCCTGATTAACTGTCTCTTGACACAGTCTCCCTCCTTGGTATGGTTTTACTCATCACTTTTTTCTTTTTGGAGACAAAGTCTCACTCTGTTGCCCTGACTAGAGTGCCCTGATGTCATAGCTCACACCAACCTCAAACTCTTGGGCCGAAGTGATCGATCCTCTTGCCTCAGCCTCCCAAATAACTTAGGTCGATGGTCACTTGCCACAGTGCCCAGTTAATTTTTCTATTTTTAGTAAAGATT